TGGAGAGGTTTTCGCTATAGGGCATGTGCGCTCGCCAGAGAGAGAGAGAGAGAGACATAGAGACAGAAAGCGAGAAATCACCCCCCAGGGGGGATGGTCACTCCGCAATCCCTTCTCCTCCATTCTCCTCTCGGGATCTTGGGCACACACACACATGCGCCCGGCGTGAGTTTTAAGCCACCAGGTCTGGGACGTGAACCGTGGTGGACTACGTGGGAGTCCAGTGACATAGCTATTACGTTAACTGCTGGTTTACAAGAAATCAGATTCTTGAGAGTGGAAAACCTTGGAGCAGCGAACATACATCTAGAGTCATTTTCCCCCTGGAGGCATTTGCCAATTTTCTGCAAAGGGAAAAGGCTGGACCTTGCTTAGACAAAGGGAACTATCTGGGGCAAAATAATCCAGAAGACTCACAGGTGGTCCAGATCTTGGAGTTACTAGACAGAGACAATTTTTAAATTATCTAGAGCAAATGTGATTAGTATGTTCAAAGAGCAGAGAAAAAGATGGAGAAAGTTGGTAAAATAATGGAGAAGTTCATCTAAGAATTAGAATCCATTTAAATAGCAATCTAATAAGACTTGTAGAACTAAAAACACATTACCTAAAATACATAAATAAATAAATGCATTTAAAGAAAACTAAATGCAGTAGAGAGCTAAACTGTGGAGTAAAAAATAAGTCAATGGAAATAACCAAATGGAAGCACAGAAATAAAAAATAATTGAAAACATAAAATTCAGTTAAAAATATGTAGGATATAACTGACAGCTGTAACATCTATAAAAACTGGAGTGAAGTGAGAAGAGAAAAAATAGTGCAGAAGCAATATTTGAAGGGATAATGACTCAAAAATTGGTAAAAGGTTTCAACGTGTATATTCAAGAAGATCTACAAAAATGGCCTATTCCTCTCTCCATCATTTAAATGACACAAGATTATCTTCTCTTTTTGGTAAAGAAGGATTTTAAAAAAACAAATTCATGTGACATAGGTATTCTAAGATGATAAAGGATAGTTAATGCTTCACTCATATTTCTCAACTTACATTTCTAACCAGTAATGATAAAGAATTTACCATCCCAGCTAATAAGAAAATATCAGGAACATCTGTGGGGGAGGGGGAAATGTTTGTATAAAAACATGGTATTTAAGTACTTTAGCTTTGAAATAATACAGAACACTTCAAATTTTGGTTTCGTTTCTTTCTCAAAATCTATGAGACTCTGTCAAGTGACATAAACTTTAATTTCCATTTTACTAAAAATGAGGATCCTAATACTTCCATCCTCTAGGGGTCGTTACCACTAACAGAGACAGTTTAATATCACTAAGGACAGGCCTTGCACAAGTGAGTACATTTCATTTTATGTTACTATATAACACAAACTCCAGTCATAATCTTTGGAAAGCAAATATGGCTGCATAATATTTATTTTATTTATTTATTTATTTTTTTTTTTGGAGAGGTTTTCTCTATAGGGCACGTGTGCTCGCCAGACAGACAGACAGAGACATAGAGACAGAAAGCGAGAAATCACCCCCCAGGGGGGATGGTCACGCCACAATCTCTTCTCCTCCATTCTCCTCTCGGGATCTTGGGCACACACGCACACGCGCCTGGCGTGAGTTTTAAGCCACCGGGTCCAGGACACGTACCGCGGTCAACTACGTGGGAGTCCAGCAACATAGCCATTATGCTAACTGCTGGTTCCCTCTTTCAGCTATTTCTATCCTTCCCTATCCCAATCTTCTATTGCACCCTTGACTTTGTCTCTATTTTTATGTATTGCTTATGAGTCTAAGTGATTAGTGTTTAAGTTATCTTATGTATGTATTTATTTTAAGCTTGCTATAGGGTTTGTGTGCTCACCACAGAGAGACAGGAAGGCAGAGAGAAGAAAAGAAAGCAAGCCATCTAGTCCAGAACTCGAACTGTGGTCAGACATCTGGGAGTCCAGTGCCTTAACCACCATGCCACCTGCTGGTCCCCCAAGTGACTATTTTTTAAAGTAGAATTAGTTCCTATGGGGTGGGAGGCAATCTTGACAGGGTCTTCATGCTATAATCCTCCACTCAATCCTGCAACCAGCTAGGATCAGAGTCCCTGTGAGTAAGACCAGTGTTCAGGGAGATTCCAGAGCCTTCCTGTTTGGCCTCCAGTATTCACTGCCTTTGTCATGGTGGCTGGGCCATCAGTGATTATTTTTAATATAAACTTTTATCTTTATTCAAAATGTTCTTATCATTTAATCCTAGAAGTATATTTATTGAATCAAAGTACTGAGTAAATGCTTTGATTAAAATTAACTTGGCACATATGGTCAAGTTGTCCTCCGGAAAGTGATGCATAAATTTCACTCAACTCAAGAAAGTATGACCGTTTTTACACTGTCATGCCCTATCTGAATAGTAGATTGTCATAAAAATTCCTCTACTACCATACAAGTTTAAAACATGAATTTTAGGAGCTGGCAGGTGGCATGGTGGTTAAAGGCGCTGGACTCCCATATGGCCAATCGCGGTTCAAGTCCTGGACCTGGTGGCTTGCTTTCTCACTTTCTCTCTCTCTCTCTCTTTCTCTCTATCTCTCTCTCCATCTGATCAAAACTGAAAAATAATAATAATAATAAAGTTAAATAAAGTTATTCTTTAAAAAAACATGAATTTTATTTTTATTTTATATTTATTTTTTTCCATTATGATATTCTTACATGTGACCCAGTATAGTTATGTGCTTGTCTGTAATTTTGCTTTTTCTTTTGTTGTTAACTTTCTTTTAATCTTTGTTATTAATCTATTGTGATACTTAAATGGATAGATATTGAGATATTTAATTTTTTTTTTGAGAGGTTTTTGCTACAGGGCGCTTGCACTCGCCAGAAAGACAGAGACAGAGAGACAGAAAGTGAGAAATCACCCCCCAGGGGGGATGGCCATGCCGCAATCCCTTCTCCTCCATTCTCCTCTTGGGATCTTGGGCACGCACGCACATGCACCTGGGCCCAGCGTGAGTTTAAACCGTGGGTCCGGGACTCGAACCACAGTCGACTACATGGGAGCCCAATGACATAACCATTACGCTAACTGCTGGTCCCTTGAGATATTTAATTTTCAGATATTTAAACCTCCCTCCTTCAGTGGGAGGTCTTTATAAATAATTTTTACCATTTTTGTTTTAAGTTTTATCATTTTTATGTCATAAATAAAAACAAATTTTATATTTTTTTCTGACTTTTACTTATGGCTATTAAATTTTAAAAGTCCTCCCAAATGAGAGATATAAATGCTTATGTTATTTTTGCTATTTTATTATTTCTTACTAATTTAGATTTAGTTACTTAACCATCTGAAATGAATTGAGAGATGAATCATCTCAGAACTAATTACTGAATAATTTTCCTTTCTAATTTGCTTTTGATTCCCTTTCAATTTAATGTATATACTAGAACACTCATTCCTAATATTTCCAGAGGTTCAGTGTAAGATAGATGCTCCTTGAAATAGTTGTATAGTAATCCTTCTTCCTGTAACTCTCCCACCCTTCTCACTCAGCTCCAGCTTCAGACTGATTTTAGAAGACAGTTTTTCATGACTGTTTTGTCAGCTATCATACATTCTAAGCATATGTAGATAGTTTAAAATCACATTAAACAAGCTGAAAAAAAAATATTGGTATTTAGTGGTTTCCCATCTAGTTGCTCTATTAGGATCCCAGGGGCAGCAAAGACTCTGAACGAGCTGACTCACTGCATCTCAGAGGGAACCAAGTCTCAAGATGTGTCTTCATAGGATCCTGAAAGCATCTGCCACCTCTCCCCACCCTCCAGTCTAGAGATTTGCAAGAGCTTAAAACACTCTTGCCCTATGAACTGAGCAGAGAGAACAGATCCCACACACTGTCAAGAGAGTACCATCTAGCAGGAGAAACCACAGGTATGATTTCTCCGTGACTTATCAGGGAAAAAGAGGGATGATGACTGTTGATAGAGGATGAGAATGAAAACAGGTGATGCATTCAGCACAGTACCAAAATATAGACAGCACTCAATAATGTGACTGACCCCAGGAAGGCTGTTATAATAGGCTTCTGACTGTCTCTCTTCTCTCATTACTTGCCTAGGTGCCCTGCCCTTTGCTCCCAGTTAATTTTTGCTGTAAAAATAGATTTCATTGTACCAGAAGACATCAACTAATAAGAGTAAAAGTAGACCAAACACTAGTTCTAAGAGAGAAAAATAATGACCTTAATGAATAATAAAATGAGTAAGAGATCAAGAAAGAGTCAGGGATGACTTTAATAAGGGAATCAAGAATGATGTTATAATAGTCAAAGGAGAAGTTCAGAAGATGCTAGATAAAATGATGAAGACTGACTATTAGTCATTACATTTGAAGTATGGAGTTCACTTTTTTATTTTATTTTATTTGTTTCTTTCCAGAATAAAGAGAGAGGGGAAGAGACAGAGAAAAAATCACCCTGGACAGAAACCACATGCTGTGATTGTTGTCCCAGGCCTCCATTAAGCCAGGACCACATATGCACCTATTATATTCAGGTACACCCAGGAAGTGAACCCACAGCCATGGAATATGATTTGTAACATCACGTAGCAGTGTCCCTACAGCCTGTGCCAATGCAGCTAAGCTTGGAGTTTATTTTAAACCGATGTAAGAATAGGATTAAGAGTGGAATTTGGATAAAAGCCAAACTTTAGAGTATTAAAAACTAAATGGAAGTAGAAACATAGAGACAGAAAATCATCAAAGAGGTGTCCATGAATTAATTGGTGTTCAGATATCAAGGGGAGATAAATTATGTGGAAGCAATCCTCAGAGACAATGGGGAAAAAAATCATGTTGTTCCTAATACAAAGTTTAGTTATCCTCAACAACTCTAAACCTTTGTTGGCATAGTTGAGATCAAGTGGGTTAAAAAAAAAGAGATTATTACTAATGTTTGCTGTTTTCCCTAAGCAAAGGTCCTGAATCTAAAACCACATTTATCAACCATGTCTGAGGAGACTAACACCACCCAGGATATGTTCTATTTCATTCTCATGGGTATCCCTGGCTATGAAGCCTCCCACATTTGGATCTCCATCCCCTTCTGCTGTCTCTACACCATCTCCATCCTGGGCAACACCACCATCCTCACTGTCATCCGCACAGAGCCCGCTCTCCACCAGCCCATGTACCTATTTCTGTCCATGCTGGCCTTCACCGACCTGGGTCTCACCCTCACCACGCTGCCCACAGTCATGCAGCTCTTCTGCTTCAACATTCCTGAAATCAGCTTCGAAGCCTGCTTTGCTCAAATATTTTTCATTCATACATTTTCTTTCATGGAATCCTCTGTACTATTGGCCATGTCCTTCGACCGCTATGTGGCCATCTGCCGCCCCCTTCACTATGCCTCAATCCTCACCAATAAAGTGATTGGTCGAATTGGGTTAGCAATCATTTGCCGCTGTGTTCTTGCTGTCCTTCCCTCCCTTTTCCTACTGAAGCGTCTCCCCTTCTGCCTCTCTCACCATCTCTCTCACTCCTACTGGCTGCACCAGGACATGATTCGCCTGGTCTGTGCTGATATCCGGGTCAATAGCTGGTATGGATTTGTTCTGGTCTTGCTCATCGTTGTCATGGACCCTCTGCTCATAGTACTCTCTTATGCAAGGATTCTGAGAAGTGTGCTGGGGTTAGCCTCTGTGACTGAGCGGCTTCGTGCCCTTAATAACTGTCTGTCCCACATTCTGGCTGTTCTTGTGCTCTATGTCCCCATGGTTGGGGTGTCTATGACCCATCGCTTTGCCAAGCACGCCTCTCCCCTGGTCCATGTTATCATGGCCAATATCTACCTGCTGGCCCCTCCTGTGATGAACCCCATCATTTATAGTGCAAAGACCAAGAAGATCCGCCAAGGAATCTTTCGTCTCTTTTTTCCCAAAAATATACTTTCAAGATGAAGTGTTGAATTTGTTAATTACTCATGAATAAGATCCATAGGCTTAAGCTGAGAGTATAATCAGCATTGGGAAAAAAAATGGGAAATGGGGTATGTAAAATAAAATTCCATTGTATTGTAAGACAGTAGACATGGTCTGTCCTTTAGCAGATGATTTTAGTAGATAATTTTTGGCTGATGGAAGCTTTCAATAATATCTCTCTAATTAAGGTATGTGGCTACTGCAGTTTAACTCTTGGCCTAAGCACCTGAAACACACTGAGTGTGTGCATACGTGCCCAAGATCCCATGGGCTAAAAGACGAAGGAGATTGTGGCATAACCAGACACTTAGAAGATCTCTATATATATTTCTCTTTCTCCCTGTTTCTCTCTCTCTCTCTCTCTCTCTCTCTCTCTCTCTCTCTCTCACACACACACACACACACACACACACACACTATAATGAATTAAAAAATCAATTTTAAAATGAGAGAGAGAGATGGATCTGGGTTAATGAAATTCTAGCACATTTTACAATTAAGGCAATGAGATGCACTTCACTGATTGAGTAAAGTTTATATAAGCTTTGTCCTCCTTCCTGGGTTCCCTTTTCTCTGATGGGCTTGGTTATATAAGTTTAAATAAAATAAATTAGTTGTTGTCCTCATTACCCATTCTCTTAGGCAGTTCTACTTAGGCATTCGGATACAGTCGCTCTTTTGTCTAGATTACTCTACTGGTTAGGTATTATGTTCTCTGACCTTCCCTTACAAAAGAATGATAAAACTGTGAGGAAGAATGAATGGAGATCAAGCCTCTTGGCCATACACATTTACCTAATCAATACCCAGAATCATTTCAACAGACCAAGTGAAAGTGTCCAAGGTCTCTAAGATTACGGTGGAGTGATAAGATCCCTCACAACTAGAATAAGGCTCTTACCTTGCTAGAGGTCTTTAGAATTTAGAATTCAAGCTTGAAGTTAGTTTATATTTATATAATCTTTATGGGAATAGAAACTCATTTTTCTGACCACAACAGACATTTTCAAAACCTTATGATAGTTTCACTTCTGAGGGGCAGATAGCCTTGGGCATCATGGATTTTGTACTAGTAAAGGGTCTCATAGAGGGGATAGGGCATGAGTTTTAAGCCACCAGGTCTGGGACGCAAACCGTGGTTGACTACATGGGAATCCAGCGACATAGCCATTACGCTGACTGCTGGTCCCCATTGATAATACATTTCAAAATACATGCTCAACAATTATGTAAACTTATGATAAAAACTTCAGATAATGTGAAAATGTTTGAGAAGTTTATATGGATTTTGTTCTTGCAGGGTTTTTTTAAATTATTATTTTAGAGCATATATAAAGATCTAATCACCACTATTCTAAGCAAAGTAAATAATTTTTAAAAGTCACTGTGTAAAGATGATTCCACTGAGCTGGATGCTGATGGGCTGGGAGAACAGCACATGGTGAGGAAAACATTCTTATCATTGGAGTGAGTGAACTTGAAAATCTAATGTGAGTTATTGATGATCTACAGTCCTATCAATCCACTCTACATAGACCTGGGCTGCTTAGGAGATGAGAGAATATGGTTTCTCATTTGACTAAAGTTCCCAGGAAACCATGGGCAACCACAGGCAGAAGCAGGCAGGAATAATTAGCCCCACGCTTCTAGGACTGAGGGAAAGGTGGGGTCAGGACACTGTTAAGATTTTACTCACTACATGGTATGATGAAGCCCCTGAGGGCTGAGGGGAAGGTGGGAAAGAGGAGAAGGAGATATCCGGGCACAGTGATACCAGATCTATTTTGCAATAGATAAAAACAGAGTTTGGGGGGTCAGCACATGTTACAGTGGGTAAGGTAGCCACATCCCACATGACTGACTCAGAGACTGGAATCCTGGACCCTGCAGTTTGAGAAACATGTCGGGAATGTGTGCATGTGTGCCTGAAATCCTGAGAGGCGAATGGAAGAGATGGGATTGTGGTGTAGCCACATAATGCCATGGGGTGATTTTTCACTTTTGCTTGCTTTCTCTCTCTCTCCTCCTCTTCTCTTTCTCTCTCTTTCTTTGGTGAGAGTACATACCCTATAACAAAACCAAAACAAACAAACAAAAGAAAAAAAAACAGATCCTGGGATTTTATTAAAGTAGAATTTGTTGACTTTGCAGGAGTCTTTGGCATCTGTAGCCTGGGCATTGTGATGTTGCCAATATTTTACTTTATGCTTTAATTGAAATTATAGTCAGTTCTCTCTCATTCTCAGAGCCTCCTACTACATAAATTTGGGTGTGAAGACCATTGAATAATGGGGAAAATTTGTTGCTTATATAATAGGTTGCTTCATGGGTAGGTTTATCATTTAATTTATTGTTTGAACGAGGATATTTTGAAAGAAGGTGCAATAAATAATGATGCCAGGCTAGCTCTAATGGCACAGCAGTGATTGGTGATGCACTTCATAGGAGAGGCTGGATTCCACATGTTGACAGTTGTTCAAATCCCCACCCCAGACAGCATGAAACATGCCAGGCACATGAATGATAGCCCAGAATCTGCTGGACTGGAAGACTGAAGGAAGGGCATTCAGCATGACCAGACCCTGCAGAGGATGTTTCTCTCTTTCTTTCTCTCCTTCTCACTCTCTTTCTCTCTCTTACATGTGCTCAATCATGAATAAAGAAAAATATTGAACAGTAATGATGCTAAGAGAATAGAATATCTGGGCAAATCAGGAAATATGCTCACTTTACTCAAACCAGAAAATATGTTTTCCTAGCATGCTAGGGACATGATCTTTCTTTATTGTGAGGTACTTCTAATCTTTACTTAACCCATAACAATGGAAATTTGCTTTATTTCAAATCAAGTATCATCAAGGCACTAGCCTTTACTATTAACTTACCATTTGTCAGGCTCTTTTCACTAAGAGTTTTGAGGGAATGAGGGAAACAAAGGTTCATGATTTCAAAGCCAGTAGTGGTGGTTAAGTGTGTGGACCATGCAAGAAGCATGCTGGATCCCACATGGCCAATTGCATGATTGGATTGAAAATTATGCCATACGCATGTGCATTCATGTCCAAAATCCTAAAAGCAGAATGGAGAAGAAGGGCTGCAATGTAGCTATCCCTTCTGTGATGATTTCTCATTTTCCCTCTCTCTCTCTCTCTCTCTCTCTCTCTTTCTATCTCCGGTGAGTGCATATACACTAAAGCAAAAACCTAAAAAAAAAAAAAAAAAGAAAGAAATGTAAGTTCATGACTTCTGACTTCTACCTTCAAGCTATATTTGGTCAAAGAAGAAATGCTTGCACATGTATACACAGAGACATATATATGTAATAAAATGTGAGATTAAAAAGGATTTAGGAATGACTTGTGATTCAGATTCAAGCTCGTGACAACACTGACTTCATTCCTCTTCCTCTGCCAAATGCCTAGTATAGAGCTTTACCTACAGCAGAAACAGGGTTAGAGTTCATAAACTAAATGACAGTGCCTGCCCCATTGAGATGACTCAGCGTAATTCTCTCTTTGGGGAGAACAAGTTGACAATTCCCTGGCGGACTGGCCGAGTCTTAACACTATAGATGATGGGGTTAAGCACAGGTGGCACAAAGAGGTAGATGCTAGACATGAGTGTGTGGACCATGGGGGAAGCATGCTTGGCAGCACGATGCATCACAGACACACCAATCATAGGCACATAGTATAGAAGCACTGCACAGATATGTGACACACATGTGTTAAGGGCCTTCCGCCGTCCCTCCCCAGAAGCAATGCCCAGCACTGTGTAAAGAATCAGCACATAAGAGACCACAATGAGCAGTGAGTCCAGCCCAAAGGTGGCCAAAACAATTGCCAAGCCCAGGATGCTGTTGAGCTTAGTATCAGCACATGGCAGCTGGATCAAGTCTGAATGCAGGCAGTAGGAGTGGGAAAGGACATTGGTGTGGCAATAAGGCAACTGTTTCAAAAGGATTGGGAGTGGGGCCATGAGTGCCACACTTTTCAGTGTAATGCCCAGACCCATGGAGATGATGCGGGGTAGGGTCAAGATAGTTGTGTAACGCAAAGGGTTGTAGATGGCAACAAAGCGGTCATAACTCATGGCCAACAAGACCCCTGACTCCATGCAAGAGAAGGTGTGAATGAAGAACATCTGGGCTAGGCAGCCATCAAAGTCAACCTTGTAGGCATCAAACCAAAGAATGCCCATAACAGTAGGCAGGGTAGACACAGAGACGCCCACCTCAGTGACAGCCAACATGGAGAGGAACAGATACATGGGCTCATGTAAGGCAGGGTCTGCCTGCACTGCTGCCATAATTAGGCTATTTCCCACAATGGCCACGATGTACATGGTGAAGAAAATGATGGAAAGCAAGCCATGCTGTGCCTCCAGTCCTGGGATGCCAGTCAGGAAAACAGATAAGAGGTCAAGACTTTCATTGCTCTTGGCTCCCATGCCACCAACAACAGAGATCAGTCTTTACCTGTCATTAAATAAAAAAATAATAATAATATTACCTCCCACCTTTTGATTCATCACATTAGTTGCCCACCTCAAAAAATTGAGAAAGGAGATAGGGGATGTAGGGACCGTTGGAGTCATCTACGTCATTCTATATTAGACACTCTTCTCTCCTTTTATTTTGCTGAGTTTTAGAATCTTAAAATGTTACACATAAAGGAGATAATTCAGAATGTTCAATCTTGCTAGAAACAGCATAGCCTAAAAATTAAAAGTAGAAACTTTAGGGTAAATCAGGCCTGGGTCAAAATCCATACTCAGTCTAAGTGACTGAGTCTAAATGATATGTGATGTGAGCAACTTATTTATTGCCAACCCAAAATTTTGTTTTATTTATTTTAACTTGAAAAATGAAGATTATAATACTATTCTCTTGTTTGGCAATAGAGAAAGAATGTGCCAATTAATATCTTATATTCATTATTTTAGAACCCTGAAAATAGATTCTTGAAGATTTTAGTCTGCACCCCAATTGATAGTTGACACCCAACCTTAAGCAAGTAACTTAACCTTTCCAAGCCTCACTATCACCATTGGTTAAGTTGGGAATAAAAATACAACTGCCTCATAGAGTTTCTATAAATGTGAACAAAATACTGCATAACATTTAAAGCATTGAATAAATACATTTTATTCTTAGGAAGCTACTAAGATCCAGAGAGGAAGAGTGAAGATACTTACAGTTTAAGAGTCAACTTTTGCAGAGAATAAATTGTAGATTATATCAATTGATGCTCCTTACAGCTTAAAAGTCAACTTTTGCAGAGGTTAGATAGTAGATTAGATCAATTGACTCTTCTTATAGTGATATTTTCAATTCTACTTTAGAGATGAGAGTAAACCCAGTCTGATCTAGATTTGAGTTATCGGAAAGAATTGAGTTTTAGCTCTGCCAAGGTGGATCTGAAAAGATAAGGACACTGGGAAAAATTCTAATTTCTATGGGTTCCTATCATACTCAGAGAAAGTAAAATATTTTGAGTCAAAGTGAGATTCAGGTTTTAGAAAGCTAAAGAGGGGGTAAATATAAATATAGGTGATAGAGGATATGGACATTATAGGTGAAAATTATACTAACACACAAGTGAGCTTTGAGTTTAACTGAGTTTAGAAAGGCTATCAAAGGGTAATGGATTCAAAAATGAGCAATTTTGACTTAGAATCCATGGAAATATTAAGGATACTGAGAAGAAAAATAACTGTCAGTGGCCAAGAACTCAGAGAGAAATAGCTAACCTCCAATCAGAAGATAAAAATAATAAATCATGCAATATAATGCAATGAAACATAATGCAATATAATGAAGTCATGTAACATAATATATCAAATCTTTTTAAATAAACAACAACAGTGAATTAGGGATATACAGTCATAATTGGTATAAAAGCTGAATTATCTCCAATCATCAGTTCACTCATTCATCAACAGATTAACGTAACTGTGGAGCTAATGTTTCATATCAACTTCCCAGAGATGCACCTAAAGGAAGAGAAGGGGTTGGTATGAATATTTTGAGTCTACCTAATCATCTCTCCTAAAGATCATTTATTTTTATTTTTTTAAATAATTACTTTATTTAACTTTATTTATTTATTTATCCTGTCTCACCTGAGGCTGCTTATCACCAGTAAAAACTCATCTTCAACAGGGAGTAGCTGGGACCAGCATTTAGAGTAATGGCTATGTCACTGGACTCCCACATAGTTGACAGTGGTTCGAGTCCCGGACCCAGTGGCTTAAACTCACACCAAGCGTGTATGCGTGCATGCCCAAGATCCTGAGAGGAGAATGAAGGAGAAGGGATTGCGGCGTGGCCATCCCCCCTGGCGGGGTGATTTCTCGCTTTCTATCTCTCTGTCTCTGTCTGTCTGGCGAGCACAAGCGCCCTATAGCAAAAACCTTTAAAAAATAAAAACAAAAAAACAGAAAGTAGCAAAAAAATCTTGGAAGCATCAACTGTGACCTATGTAAGGAGGAATATTCAGGGTGGAGAAGAGGAAGGGCAATATGGAAGAGGCATAACTGAAAGAAATTTATTGATTTTCGGGTGATGAAAATGATAATCAAGGGGGAAATTGCCTCACTACCAAGCTGCTTCATGAGTCTCATAACAACCATGTCCACCAACTTTCCTGAAACCAGGAAGGGGCTGATCTAAATTCTAGTTCTTTCAGCCATAAGTTCTTTCCTCTGAAACCCAGCATCCAACCTTGTAAAGTTAAAGTCACTTGATTTTCCCTTGCAGAAAAAAAGAACTAAATGGTAGGCAGAGATGTTATTTCTAGACTTCTAGGCAAACTGGGGGTTTGGTGGCAGGAAGCAAGAGTTAAGTGACCTTTAAAAATGACCTCCTCTCAAAAGATGTCTACCTGACATGCTCTCTAGAACCTGAAACAAGAGAGAGAATTCTGAGAGATTTCCCTTATCAGAATGTTGCCCATGCTCAACTTAAATACTCCCAATATTGGGGAGTTCACTGCATTCTGAAATCACTACCCTGGTGAGATTTAACTGATTTATAAAGTGCTTTCTTGGACTTAAACTTGCTTTCTCCACATTAAAATGTGAAAGACACAGAGACACAATGATATTAACTCAGTATCACCCAAATATCATTCATCATAGTATCTGTTATCTTCTTGAAATACACATATTAATTTGTAAAATATTTTTACTTGTGTAATTAAGTGTTTAATGTCTGTATCTCCTACTAGATTATAAACTACATCAAAGAAGGATGATTTTGATTGCTTTTGTTGTTTTTTTTTTCATTTAGTTTTGTTTGGTTTTACCACTCTATATCCAATACTAGTATAGGGTTGAGTACATAAGGGATGTTTAATAAACACTTTAACTGGAAAACAAATGAATGAATAGTATACAAAAATTTCAACAATGGTACTCTATAATCTTCTCTTCTTCACATTACCTATCTTAAACTCCATTATATATTTCTCAAAGTATCTGACTTTCAATTTCTGCACCATACAAGTCCTCCTGTCAAAATGACTGAAACTCGCTTTCTCCACATTAAAATGTGAAAGACACAGAGACACAATGATATTAACTCAGTATCACCCAAATATCATTCATCATAGTATCTGTTATCTTCTTGAAATACACATATTAATTTGTAAAATATTTTTACTTGTGTAATTAAGTGTTTAATGTCTGTATCTCCTACTAGATTATAAACTACATCAAAGAAGGATGATTTTGATTGCTTTTGTTGTTTTTTTTTTTCATTTAGTTTTGTTTGGTTTTACCACTCTATATCCAATACTAGTATAGGGTTGAGTACATAAGGGATGTTTAATAAACACTTTAACTGGAAAACAAATGAATGAATAGTATACAAAAATTTCAACAATGGTACTCTATAATCTTCTCTTCTTCACATTACCTATCTTAAACTCCATTATATATTTCTCAAAGTATCTGACTTTCAATTTCTGCACCATACAAGTCCTCCTGTCAAAATGACTGATGGATAGTAAGTCTAATATGAATCAACAATGTGACATGTAGCTTACAACTAATCTGAAGTTCTCCTAACACTATTTGAGTAGAAATTATAACTTTCTCATCGGTGGCATCTAATTTTTTCTATATATTTTCCTATTTTATGAAATTACACTTATGCTTTTGTTTTTCTTGTCATAATTTGAGTTATTTTAGAATTATACTTGTGCCTGGGTTATTCTTACCTCTCTAGCACTTCATGTAATTCTGACACAAAGACTTACCTGATAAATTATTAATAAATAAAATCTCAAATATACTGCTTAGACCATAAATGAAGTACATTTGTTCAGTTCTGGGTTCCATATTCAAGATAGGAACTAAACCAAATGTGACATATATAAAATGTAAGAATTAAGTCATAAGAAGGGCATGGAAGAGACAAGTGATGCTCTGTTTTGACAAGAGGAGACTGTAGTAGAGATGGCTGGGCATGGGTAGGACAGTGGTTAGTGACAGGTGAATATCACAGTGAGACAGGCTGAGGTTCATGTAAGGAATATTTTTCTAAAGGTCAAAGATTCACAATAAAATTCTAAGTTCCAGAGCAATGGGGATGTTTAAAGAGTGTATAAGCTTTCATGGGAATTCTGGAGGCAGAATGCCAGCATCTGCTGAGTTGGGATTAAAGGCCCTTTCAAATTTTCTATTGCCTGAAGGCTTGAGATTCCAGACCGTCAAGGTCTCTTATTTTGTAATAGATGTCCGCAGCTGTGGATTTGCATGGAACAGAACGGAGGCAAGTTTTTTACTTTGGCCATGTGATCATGTGTTTTTCAGTGAATCTAGCAGCCCTATATGAAAGTGGGTGGGAGACCAGAAGGGCATTTGAATGAATATTGTTCTATAGAAAACTGACATGAAAATGAGATCCAAAAACTTTTCTTTACTTTTTATTTTATATTTTATTTTATTTATTTTTGGTCATAAACCTCTCCATCATAGACCAAACAAATTGTGGCAACTATGGAAAGAAACATAAGCATTGACAGAGACTTGGTCAAAGGTACAAAGACAAGAACTGAGAACCATACAGAAGGACAGGCAGAATTGTAGATAAAAACACTCTTCTTGTTCACATACCTAGAAAGCACAATTGGATTCAAACTCACCTGAGAGAGCTTTGTGAATTGGCAATTGTATTGGCAGAGGGCTAGAGCTCACAATGACTGCAAAATGCACCTCAAGCAGGCAGTAGCCAGGAGTGGAGGCAGACTTTATGTCACAGAATCACAGTTCCCAGAGGTCCTGTTTTGCCTGAATGTGATGTGCTGGTGATGGAGAAAGAAATGCAGTCACATCTCGCCTTGGGAATAGAAAAAAATAAGAAAAATTAAAACAAAAGAAAACAAAAGAAAACAAAAAAACCACTTCCCCTGGAGACACTTCCCTTTCTTCACAGAAAACATGAAATTCCATATTTTTACTTATGATGGAGAGGATAGAAACAAATTCTTCCCAGTGCCAGAGCAATACCCATCCTTGCCTGGAACACACACCAGTTATTGTCTCAAAATTGGATCTGTGTGCCCAGAACTCAAATCCCTGCATTCTGTTTATTAATTTGACCAGACCGAGACAGAAAGAGAGAGAGAAAGCAAGGGAAATTGAGAAAGCAAGCCTCCAAGTCAAGAACCCAAACTGTGATCAGCCATGCAGGACTCCAGCACATTAACCACCATGCCACCTGCAAGCCCCATGGTTTAAAAACCCACATTCCAAGCAGATTCTACAGTTTGAAGTCCAGTCAGAAAACTCCAGAGTTTGGATATCAAATAATAGTTTAGAATACAGAGAGAACCTGAGTTGAAATAATAGAAAATATGACGTTGGTTGTATTGATCTGCTTATACCTATTGTTCCCAGTTCTGACTCCCATTACCTCCTCCTCAACCCTACACCAAGTTCCGCACAAATTCAATGTCTCTTCCAGGAGAAACAGTCTAAAGCACTAAAGGACCGTATGGTTCAAAGTTACACAGACCTTCAGTTAAGTCTGGGATTCACAACATGCTAGCTTCAAGATTTCAGGAGACTAACATTTCTATCACTTGGGACCTGATCTTTATAGGATAATATGTATCTGCAGGAAATACAAATTTAAATGAGAAAAGTAACAGATTTTTGTTTGTTCATTTTGAATTGAATGTGCCACACTTGATAATTATCCTCAACATTAATTCTGCTTCAGGTTTCAATTTCAAATTCCCCAAATACGAGAAATTTTGGAGAATTTTTCCCCCAACACCTAGTCTGGTTTTTTTTGGTTAGGATTTCTTATGTATTTCTTCCATGAACAAGAGAGATAACGAAAAAGAGGTACTTCCAACAGTGTCCTCACCTCATTATCTACCCCCAACCTCGGTCAGCCAGGATCACGTGTACAGGCGTGCATTCCCAGAATGTTCAGGGAGACCTCAGAATGCAGACCTGGTACCTCTCCACATGACCTCAGGATCAAAGAGAGCATTATGTTACCGCTATTCCACCATTGCTGGTCCCATTATACATCTCATCTTACCTCTTCCCTGTTTCAGTTTCAAGTAGAGTAAGGGTGTTTTGAGGGAGGAGATAGTAGGAGCACCCTTCACTTTTCTATCAAGTGGTGGACAAATGGTGGATAAGTGTAAGGCAGCAAACAGATGATCATAAAGAAAATTCACCCTTCTCCATGTCAGCTCTGCAGGACCAGAAGGGCAACTGGCAAAACACCCCTTCTGCTTTCCACCATTATTAGAGGATAGGTTGAGTCACAAATAACAAGTTGGGAACCAGGAGCTAGAATTCAAGAGAATGTAGATAACAAACTTTTGAGTGAAGTTAAAAAGAAAAAAAAGAAAAAGAAAATCCCTAAATACTCATTCACTCTGATAAACATAATGTTAAACATGGTATCTGTGCAAATCTCAATGAAAATGGTTTAGTGTGTTAAAAGCTTTTGTGGGAAAGTCATAACATTTTTTTTCTATGCAAAAATATTTTTTCTATGCATATTTATAGAGAAATAAATATGCCCTGTGGAGTGTGAGTGGAACTCTCCTCAATGGAGCTAAGCCAAGATGGACACAACCTGCAGGTTTGGGAGAAAAGAGTAAAACTTGGTCAAACGAAACATATTTAATGAAGGAAGTAAGTAAGAGTGCTTACAGAAAATAAGTTAATAGAGTTTCAGGAATAAAAATTAGATGTCAAAAGAGTCCCTGATCAGGGGAACATTAAAGTTGTATTTACAGTCTCCTAACCTAATCGCTAATCTAATCTCACTGTGACAACCGAAGGATTCATTTTCTCTTTCTTTCTGTAGTTTATATTTGACTATATGGCAGCCATAAAATTAGAATTTGCTTTAATTTGGGATGTCAGATGTTTAGGATGGCAGGCACAGAAATTGCAGTCTGTTGATGATAATGTATATGATATCTTCGACTGGACTGATGTGAAGTGTATTCTTGTTGGGTAAATTCATTTTACAAGCTGTAGTGATGTATAATGATTGAATGTATAAAATAAAATAGTTTTAAAATAAAATTGCTAAAAAAAAATGCATAAAAGATAAAGGAATCACATCATAAGGCAATGGCTGTGGAGAGGCTGGAAATTATTTATCAAATTCTCCTCTGGAGCTAATTCTGTGTTCCCCCTACACCGCATCATGGAGATAATAAGATTTAAGTCTGTATTTTCTTTCACCACCTATATCATATACTTTATTGTACCGTAGTCAGCTTCTCCTGACTTCAGAAGTCTTTTATAAGCTAACCCGGGCAATCTCTCAAGACCTCGTTTCCAAGTTGCTCATTGAGAAAACTCTCCTTTGTCTAAACAAAGTTTTCTTTACTTTTTTGCCAATTTTCTAGACCCATATTCTAGTTTAAAGGTTCTCAACCTTTAACATTTATCAGAATAACTTGGAGAACTTGTTAAAACATGAATTGCTGGATCCTACCACCCAGAGTTTCTGACTCATGAGGCTTAAGAATGCTCAGAATGTATATCCTAACAGGTTTCAAATGACGCTGACGATGATTTGGAATTCAAACACGGAGAACCACTTTTCAAAATTCCTATTACTTGTGACTCTCATTACTCGTTTTGTACAGAATATTACCAACAACCTAATTCTGAGAGCTATTTGAAGAGAAACACTGTTGGACCAGGAGATGGTATAAGATTGCTGATGTATGAGTTCCCACACAGTTGGCCATGTTTTGAGTCCCGGACCGGCAGCTTAAACTCACACTGAGTGTGTGCGTGTGCATGTCCATGCCCAAGATCCTGAGAGGAGAGTAAAGGAGAAGGGATTATGGCATGGCCATACCCCTGGGGGAGGGGGGAGGTGATTTCTCACTTTTTGTCTCTCTGTCTTTCTCTCTCTCTGGTGGGCAAAACATGCCCTATTAGTAAAAGTCTCTCTTTAAAAATGAGAGAGAAATACTATGTGTCCAAATCTTTACTCACCCAGAGCTCCTATAAAATGCAATTCTCATTCAATAGGTTTCATGTAAGGCCTACAATTCTGTTTTCCTTACAAGTTATCAGGTATGTTCACATTACATTGGTTAGACCATACTGGGAGTAGTACCATTCTAAGCATTTTTGCTTAAATGTTTCTTCTTAGGCAGTTATGTCTGCCAAGATCATTTCTCTTCCTTCTCTCTGCCATCCTGTATGAAGTATTCATTCCTCAAAATCTATTTTTTTTTTTTTGGAGAAGATTTTGCTATAGGGCGTGTGCACTCACCAGACAGACAGAGAGAGAGACAGAGAGACAGAAAGCAGGAAATCACCCCCCAGGGGGGATGACCATGCCGCATTCCCTTCTCCTCCATTCTCCTCTCGGGATCTTGGGCACGCATACACACGCGCCCGGTGTGAGTTTAAGCCACCGGGTCCGGGACTCGAACTGCAGTCAACTATGTGGGAGTCCAGCGACATAGCCATTACACTAACTGCTGGTCCCTCAAAATCTATTTTATACCACCCAATAAAGCCTGTCCTTATTATCACAAACCAAATAGATTTTCTCTTCTTGCATAAAACACAAAGCATCTATTACATTTGTCTGTCTTTAATATTAGTCATTTCTCTTACCCTGCTGGTAGTAGAATTATTTGTGTTCAAGGCTATTTGTCCTGTAGAACTTCCATTATTCTGACATAGTCAAACTAACACTTTTCAGGATATCTGTTACTCTTTTTTTTATACCTTCCTTTGACATGTCTGTTGGCTTAACTGTATGGCATACTCACCATTATAACATTCTTAGCTACTATCACAAGGATTCTCACTCAGTAAATGTTCAGACAAGGTGTATATAATTTTATTGACTCAGATATTCTTTTATTAGTTTCACAATCACAAATATAAGGATCTGTGTCCTCTTCCTCATTGTTTTAACATTCCTCAATTTGGCAAGCAGATCTGTCTTTCCTCCACAGAACCTCTCTCTGAGGGATTGCAGTCGTCCTCAGGCCTGGGATTTAAGGAAGATTTTAAGGATGCCTCTGCGGATCTCCTTGGTCTTCACACTATAGATGATAGGGTTTAACAAGGGGGGTACAAACAGGTAGACATTGGACATCATGACATGAACCACAGGTGGGGCACTTTTCCAGAAGCGATGGATCATGGAAACAGCAATTATGGGCACGTAAAAAGCCAGTACTGCACAGATGTGTGACATGCAAGTGTTGAGTGCCTTGAGCCTCTGTTCCTGGGATGCAATGGCCAGCACAGCTCTCAAGATCAATGCATAGGAAAGCAGGATGAAAACTGAGTCCACACCATAGGTGAAAATGACCACAAACAGTCCATAAATATTGTTAATGTGGATGTCTCCACATGCCACTTTCATGAGATCTGGATGGAGACAGTACGAGTGATGCAAAACATTTCCCTTGCAGAAAGGCAGTCGTTTCACCAGAAAGGGAAAAGGGAAGAGAGTGGTAAAACTCTTGGTCAGGATGCCCAAGCCCATAGCCATGATGCGGCTGTTGGTGAGCACAGTAGCATAGCGTAGTGGGTCACAAATAGCCACAAAACGATCAAAGCTCATGGCCAGCAGTATGCCTGACTCCATGAAAGAGAAAGTGTGAATGAAGAACATCTGGACGAGGCAGGCATCGAAGCCAACATGGCGGTAGTTGAAGCAGAAGGTGGCAAGCACAGTGGGAAGTGTAGAAAGGGACACTCCCAGATCATTGAGAGAGAGCATAGAGAGGAAGTAGTACATAGGCTGGTGCAGAGCAGGATCCCGGACCACCAGAACGAGGATGCTGAGGTTGCCTATGATGGAGATCAGGTAGAGGATGCAGAAAATCAGGGCAACCCAGGCTTGACCTGTCTATGCCTGTCAGCTGAAGAGTATCTGGCTGGAAGGGGGTGCCATTGAAGCCTGGCATGGCAGACAGTTGGGTGAACATAGATGGGGAATAAACCCAAGGGTGTGTGTTGGGGAGTTCTTCACTTTCTTTCTTTCAGATATCCTGTCTCCAACAAAAGGTCAGAGATTGAAAATGTTTATCTGTGTCCTTGCATCCCCCATTAGACTCTGAGATTTTTGAAGAAGGAACTAAGTTCTACTCCTTCCTGTGCCACCAGCACCCGGCATGCTGTCTAGGCCATAGCAGAAACACTGCGAATGTGTGCTTATACCATGGCAAGGTATAACACAACATGAACAAAGCTCTCTATTGTTTTTGTTTTCGTTTTTTGGTATAGGGTGTGTGTGCTTGCCAGAGAGACAGAGAGACAGAAAGCGAGAAATCACCCACCAGGGGGGATGGCCAAGCCTCAATACTTTCTCCTCCATTCTCCTCTCGGGATTTTGGACAGGCACACACACTTGTCCAGTTTTAAGCCACCAGGACCAGGACTCAAACCGCCATCCACAATGTGGTAGCCCAGCGACATAAACATTACACCATCTGCTGGTCCCATTATTCATCCCTTAATCCATTTTAGCCCATGTTTTCTGAAAGGATATTTTTCTTTTCATCCCAAAAACAGGCCTTCACCTTTCTAACCACATTTCTTGTCACATATGTCAGAGACCTCTTCCATGAATCCATTATATCTTCGATCTTTCCCTTTGGTCTCATTTCTTCGGCAGTAAGTGTGTCTAAGACCATCTTGTCATGAAAACAGGATAACCTTCCCCTCTCCAATGGCCACTCTATGACTCTTTCCTGATTCTTAATGAAATTTCTCAAGAATTTGTCTCTGAATACAAAGGAAGCAGAGATCATAATTCAATTTTTTAATGTCTGGTTTTTTGGGGATTTTTGTTTTTTTTCAATTTGATTCTGAGATCTTCAGTATCAAAGATTCGATCTTAGGGGCCTAACCTTCTACCACTGTTTAGTTCATGATATTGTGCCTTCCACATTCTCCCCCTCCAAAGTGAAACAATTTTCTCTATGGTTATCAGTATCCTATTTGTCTCTAGATCTAATGAAGACCATCTCTCCTAATTCATTTGACCACCCTGCAAGAATTGATACTGTGGTAACTCACCTTTACAAAATTACCTTCTTCTAGGCATCATTTCTCCACAGGTCTCTTTCTACTTTGGCTTCTTCTCTACCTTCTTAATTTTTTTTTTGTTTGGGGATCAGTAGGGGGAGCCCCTGGAATAATAGTATTTTAAATTTTTTAATACATTTAAACACTGTACATCATTACAGCATGCAAAATGAATTCTCCCAGAATGAATACACTGTATAATACTCTAGTCAAATATATTATTATCACACACATTATGTTTTCTTTCATTGTCCTTAAGCAGCATTTGCCTAACTTCAGGCAACATAGGCAAAAGTCAGAATGGTACAAACTGAGAAATCACATCATAAGGGCTACTTTCCCAAGTATTGGGTTGTCAGAAAAGTCATGACATTTTTTTGTTGTGTTTTTCTATGTAAAAATGTGTCATGACTTTTCTGGCAACCCAATAGTTTTATAGCTGTATTTCCATGCTATCTGGTGTCTCTCAGAATTAAAGTAACATTCTGGGATTTAGGCATAGTGGCTCCCTATTCCTTTACCTTTTCTAGGGTTTCCATCACAGCACTCCAGTAATACAATGAAATTAGATGGCCCAAGGCAATAGATAATGCCCAGATATTAGCCATAATTTTGAACGTTTTCTGGATCAAGAGAAGGAATTTAGCTATACCTTTGGTTTCTCTCTCCTCTAACTGAGCAAAGTGCTCCTTTAATCAGTACTATTTTCTTATCCTTACTCTCCCCTCTAAATGTCTCTTGACTTCCCACCCCAGATTTAAAATAAATGTCTCCAACAAGTCTTTTCAGGTGCAGCCTGTTGAGACCTGCTTTTTACTTTTCATCATCTTTATTCCAAGATTTTCTTTGCATCTTGAAAAAAATGGAAAGATTCTTGGTGGGAAGGCAGATAACTAAGAAATCTCTGCTGGGACCAGCAGTTGGTATAATGGCTATGTCGCTGGAAACGCCTCAAAATAGGAATATCCCACAGTTTGTAACTCCTGTTACACAAATTGTGGTAGTCCTGAAAGTTTATATTTTTTTCTGTGCTCTAGATCTTTTTCAGTCTATAAAGATAGCTTGAAAACTTCTCACCTGTGGAGGGCAATGCCCCATTGCCTACCAACAACCAGTTTTTTCTTTGCTTCATTCTCAGAAGTGTCAGCTAAGACTTCCTAAATAAAACCAATCTAAGAAGATGCAGATAGACACCAGCAATTCATAGCACATGTATGAACATGCATACACACATGGCCACTGACATTATCAGGAGATATACATTTTTATATTCCTACACATTTACATACCTGGGTTCTCATAGGTCCTATCTCACATCCATGTACAAACAGAAACTATCATACACTTTCTTGGTCACACAAAACACTATCACACTGAAAAACTTAGGAAGACCCAAAGTTATGCACTGGCACTATACAATTTGCTTTAAGGATTTCTCATCCTTATGACCTACTGGACATACACTTATAAACACACACACACACACACACACACACACACATCACAAATGTTATCAACTGTAATACTGTGACAAACTCAATACTGACAATCCAGTTAAGATTAAAGACTGCATTGCTGAATGAATTCAGTTCATTTGGTTCTGTGGTTTTTCTTCACCTGCACACTTAAGAGCTGGTATAGGAGATGATAATTAAAATTATAGGATTTTTAAAAAGAAGTATAAAACCTCTCAAGATAAAATCTATATTTGATGTATCAACCCCTTGATGTAATGGTATATGGTTTGATATTAAGTTTTTGATACTGATGGGAGACAGGGGTATGTAATCCTGACTTTGGAAGAGGAATGATTTGGCTCATGTTTTCTGGGTCAGGGAGATTTGAAGGTCAGAGTTTCAGCAAAAGTGTAAAATATAGAATAGGTCTAGATCAGGAACCCAGGTGGGTAGCCTGGGAGGGAGCACTCACTGGGTGGAAGATGGCTCTTTTCCCTGTAGTTGGATGTGCTGTGTTACAGGTCCAGCTGCAGAAACATCAGCTCATTCTCCTGTGAATCATAAATTTATGAGTACCCCAGGTCCCAAGGCTTGTTTGTATATGGAGGAGGAGGAATGAGAACAATTGAGAGGCAGTTATCAGTGAATCATGAGCTCAGCCACAGGAGTCTTGTTCTCAGGAGAATGTCATTCTTGGCCCCATTGTCCCTGAAGTCACTGTTCATATACACCAGTGTCTTCATCCTTCCTTTATCGGGAAATGCAGACACACTGCATACATGTATACACACAAACAAACCTAGTCATAGACATCCTGAGACTCCCACCCTTAGATACATTCAGCTATTTATTAACACTCACATTGCCACTTTTGAATTTACACAGATAAGGACACAAGATATGCTTATGTTGGGCCAGCAGGTGGTATCAGGGTTAAGGTTGCTAGATCCTACCTGGCCAGCTGCACAGTCAAGTCCCAGACTTGGTGGTCTGAAAAACATGCCAGGCACTTGTACATGCATATCCAAAATCCCAAGAGAAAATGAAAAGAAGGGATTGTGGTGTGGTAATTTCTCACTTTCCCTCTCTCTGTCTCTCCAGTGAACACATGTACCCAATAGCAAAAATTAAAAAAAAAAAAACTCATGCAGTTGCCCAATGCACCAGTCACTAATCACAGATCTTCTTTCAAGAGATACACAGTATGATCTGTGTTTCTTACATTAATTACAGAGACTAATTTAAATTATAGATGTCATTTTAGAAATAGTGAAATAAACACACACACACACTTGAAGAAATAAATATGTTTCAAATATACTCAGTACTTACATATACAAAAGTACATATTTAAAATACATATCCACATTATCATTAACAGATCAATAAAATACCCAATAATTCATATCCTCACATCTGGTCACAGATTCATATGCAAAGTATTATTTTACAAATGTGTATCAGCATCCATAGAACACATTTCTTACTCAAATATTTCTTTTATTTCACTTCTGTATGTGTCCTACAAATTATAAACAACTCATTTTAACTAAAATTAGACAAACACGTAGATGAAAAACATATACTTATTGAAAAATTTTTGTTCTATGTATTATTTCTACCACTGATGGTTTATAGAACAACAAAGACACCATACTTATTCTTGCAAAGAAACTAAATATTAAAAAACAGATCCACTCAATAGCCCAGGCAAATATTTCTCTGAATATTACTTAGAAATATATAATAAACATGTTTCATTACAAAACCAATGCACTTGTCAAAACTTATCTAATATACATATATGATTTGTGCATTATATGTTTGAAAGAAACAAATAATTACATAAAATACTGAACTCCAAGTAATGATTTAAATGCTAAAATTTTCAGAAAGAAATGTATAGATGTTGCAACTCATTCAGTTATATAAAATAAAATGTATTAAAAAGTAATATAGATTGATGGCTAGATAAAGGGATGGATACATGGGTATAATATGATAAAGTAATCATTATAAAATATTAATGACACAACTGGTCCAGTAGCACAGTGGTTAAGCACTGTGCATTGAAGCCAAACCCCTTAGGGTTGATAGCAGTTCAAGTCCCAGCTCCAGGAGCTTGAAAAAACATACTGGGCATATATGTCTGCATGCTCATGATCCTGATGGGTGACAAAAGAGAGGAAAAATGATTGCTGTGTGTCTACATCCCAATAAGAGGTGCTCTCTATTTCTCTGGCAAGCACCCATGCCTTCTAAAATTTTTAGAAATATATTAATGATATGATATAGGTGGTGAGTGTGGTATTCGCTATAAAATTATTTCAAGCTTTCTGTGCTTAGAATTTTTTATGATAAAATGTTGGAGATATTTTAATATTTAAAAAGTTATATAGACAATTATTCCAAAAACTGCT